TTCAAAACGTATAAATCTTTCGCCTTTTACTAAAGATTTCCGTGGAGGGGAACAAGTTAACGAGTCTTTAGGATAATTTTTTGTGTGCCCTGCCTATGTGGCGGGGCTTCTAATCTAAATAAATGAAACATCATAAGCGAAATTACAGCCATTCTCAATAACACGCGTCTTCTTGTGATTCTCTCTGTCGCGACGAAGAAGGTTTTGGTGGACGTCAAGCACAAGGCGCTTCCATAACATTGTCGGAAAACACAAAGCTATAAGAGCACGTGCCTATAGAATGTCATGGAAACGCTTTGATTGACTTCGTCACGACAAAAACAATCGCTAGAAAGCGCGTGTGATTGAGAATGGCTGTAATATGAAGGGTTTTCGTTAGGCATAGTTTGTAATGAAATCAACATGCGCAAACGTTTTCTCCCTGATAGCGCATTAGAAATAATGAGAGAGCACAAAGCATAGTCACTTCACTGATATAAAAATATTCTACAAATGAAATCTGTCTAATCTATAATAATTGGTGAATTATCTGTTTTCCTCGATGTCTAAAAATTGAAACGAAACTCACGCATGCTCAAAGGCTTTTAGCCATTAATGAAACGAGGTGATGCATGAGAGACCACAAAGCATCCCATACGTGGAAGAAACTTGCATCTGTACGGGTCCTCTTTGGACATCATTGCTCGTCACTCTGGTTTCCCTTCAAAACGTATAAATCTTTCGCCTTTTACTAAAGATTTCCGTGGAGGGGAACAAGTTAACGAGTCTTTAGACAAAATTTTTGTTTGCCCTAGCTTTCTGGCGGGGCTTCTCACCTCAATAAATAATTAAAACATCTTTAGCAAAATCAATATGCAGGTTTTCATTAGGTATAGTTTGAAAGCAAAGCATGCGTAAGCGTTTTCTTTACGGTAGCGCATTAGAAATAATGTAATACACGAGAGAGCACAAAGCATAATCACCTCACTGATATCAAGATATTCTCAACACGACAAAATGAAATTTTCATTGTCTTAAAACTAATTTTTTGTTTGCCCTGCACTCGAGGAGGGGCTTCTAACCTTAATAAATAAATGAAACTTCATTAGCAAAATAATGCGGATTGTAATTAGGTATAGTTTGGACTCAACTCCACGCATGCGTAAACGTTTTCTCCCGTGTAGCGCATTAGAAATGATGTAATACATGAAAGAACACAAATACTGATATCAAGATATTCTCAACACGATAAGATAAATCTAATTTAATTTATAATCATGGATGAAATATCTGTCTTTCTCGATTTCTAAAAGTGAAATGAAACACACGCATGCGCAAAGGATTTTAGCTATAAATGAAATGAGGTGATGCATGAGAGACCACAAAGCATCCCATACGTGGAAGAAACTCGTATCTGTACGGGTCCTTTCTGGACATCACTGCTCGTCTCTCTGGTTTCCCTTCAAAACGTATAAATCTTTCGCCTTTTACTAAAGATTTCCGTGGATGGGAACAAGTTAACGAGTTTTTAAACTAATTTTTTGTGTGCCCTGTCTTCGAGGCGGGGCTTCTAATCTAAATAAATGAAACATCGTCAGCAAAATTACAGGCATTCTTAATCACACGCGCCATCTTGTGATTCTCTCTGTCGCTACGAAGAAGGTTTTGGTGGACGTCAATCACAAGGCGCTTCCATAACATTGTCGGAAAACACAAAGCTATAAAGGCACGTGCCTATAGAATGTCATGGAAACGCTTTGATTGACGTCCACCAAAATCTACTTCGTCGCGACAAAAACACTCGCTAGAAAGCGCGTGTGATTGAGAATGGGTTTTCGATAGGCATAGTTTGTAATGAAATCCACATGCGCAAACATTTTCTCCCTGATAGCGCATTAGAAATAATGAGAGAGCACAAAGCATAGTCACCTCACTGATATAAAGATATTCTAAAAACGAAATTTGTTTAATCTATAATAATTGATGAAATATCTGTCTTTCTCGATGTCTAAAAATTGAAACGAAACTCACGCATGCGCAAAGGATTTTAGCCATAAATGAAATGAGGTGATGCATGAGAGACCACAAAGCATCCAATACGTGGAAGAAACTCGTATCTGTACGGATCCTCTTTGGACATCACTGCTCGTCTCTCTGGTTTCCCTTCAAAACGTATAATTCTTTCGCCTTTTACTAAAGATTTCCGTGGAGGGGAACAATTAAACGAGTCTGTAGACTAATTTTTTGTTAGCACTGCCTTTCTGGCGGGGCTTACCTCAATAAATAATTGAAATTCATTCAGCACAATTAATATGCGGGCTTTCATTAGGTAAAAATTAATCTTACTCCGACGAAGGACTAACGTCCGAAAAGTCAATTCCACAAAGCTTTTTACGGTGATTCAATTCATCCACAAGTTCCTGCAGCAAAATTAATATGCGGGTTGTTATTAGGTACAGTTTGAATCTCGTACCCAGAGCCTGCGTTTCTTTCGGCCTGCGGCGAAAAACGAGGGCTCTGGCATAATCCATTTTTGGCGCATGCGCAGGTTTCCGGAAGTGAAACATAATCAATGAAAATCATGCTTTCAAACCTTGTTTCAAACAGAGTTCTGTGTTTACTTCCGATCAAAATAAGAATTAGAAATCGGGAACATATTTTTTAAAATTTTTTGCAAGTCTTTTAACGTATACGCTCTTATACCAGAAGTCCAAGAAATACTGGTCTCAAAAAATGGATTATGCCAGAGCCCTCGTTCTTCGCCGCAGGCCAGAAGAAACGCAGGCTCTAGGTACGAGATTGGTATAGTTTGTTATCAAATCCACGCATGGGTAAACGTTTTCTCTATCGTAGCGCATTAGAAATTATGTAATACATGAGAGCACAAAGCATAGTAACCTTACTGATATAAAGATATTCTCAACAAGAGAAGATGAAAGTTGTATAATCTATAATCATTCGTGAAATATTTATTTTTCTCTATTTCTAAAAAAGTGAAATGGAACGCACGCATGCGCAAACTTTTTTAACTATTTATGAAACGATATGATGCATGAGAGAGCACAAAGCATCCCATACGTGGAAGAAACTTGTATCTGTACGGGTCCTCTTTGGACATCACTGCTTGTCACTCTGGTTTCCCTTCAAAACGTATAAATCTTTCGCCTTTTACTAAAGATTTCCGTGGATGGGAACAAGTTAACGAGTCTTTAGACTAATTTTTTGTTTGCCCTGCCTTCGAGGCGCGGCTTCTCACATCAATAAATAAATAAAACATCTTCAGCGACATTTTGCGGATTGTAATTAAGTATAGTTTGGAATCAAAGCCACACATGCGCTAACGTTTTTCCATCAAAGCGCATTAGAAACGATGTAATACATGAGAGAGGACAAAGGTTAGTCACCTCACTGATGTAAAGATATAAAGATATTCTAAGCACGGGAAAATGAAATTTGTATAATCTATAATCAATTGTGAAATATTTAATTTTCTTTATTTCTAAAACAGCGAAAAGAAACGCACGCATGCGCAAAGGATTTTAGCCATTAATAAAACGTTGTGACGCATGAGAGACCACAAAGCATCCCATACGTGGAAGAAACTTGTATCTGTACGAGTCTTCTGTGGACATCACTGCTCGTCACTCTGGTTTCCCTTCAAAAAGCATAAATCTTTCGCCTTTTACTAAAGATTTCCGTGGAGGGGAACAAGTTAACGAGTCTTTAGACTAATTTTTTGTTTGCTCTGCCTTCCTGGTGGGGCTTCTCACCTCAATAAATGATTGAAACTTCATCTACCAAATTATGCGGAATGTAATTAGGTATAGTTTGGACTCAAAACCACGAATGCGTGACGATTTATTTATCTATATGTGCATGAGAATATCGTAGCGCATTAGAAATGGTGATGTAATACATGAGAGAGCACAAAGCATAGTCACCCCACTTATATCAAGATATTCTAAAAACGAAATTTGTTTAATCTATAATCAATCGTGAAATATTTAATTTTCTCTTTTTCTAAAAAAAAGTGAAAAGTAACGCACGCATGCGCAAAGGATTTTAGCCATGAATGAAAGGATGTGATGCATGAGAGAGCACAAAGCATCCCATACGTGGAAGAAACTTGTATCTGTACGAGTCTTCTGTGGACATCACTGTTCGTCACTCTGGTTTCCCTTCAAAAGCGTATAAATCTTTCGCCTTTTACTAAAGATTTCCGTGGAGGGGAACAAATTTACGAGTCTTTAAACTAATTTTTGGTTTGCCCTGCCTTCCCGTCGGGGCTTCTAAACTCAATAAATAAATGAAATTTCATATACAAAATTATGCGCATTGTAATTAGGTATAGTTTGTATCATATCCACACATGCGCTTTTTCCCTCAAAGCGCATTAAAAATGATGAAAGGGCACAAAGCATAGTCACCTCACTGATGTAAAGATATTCTAGAAATGAAATTTGTGTCATCTATAATGTGCATTTTTTGAAACAATTTGCTGTCTTCCACAGGTGAGGAAAGACGATATTCTTCTCAAGTTCAACGAGGAGTTTCACAAAAATTTTGGGTTGCAAAGCTGTGACGTCACGTTCTACTTTAACAGGTGTGTCAGCTTAAATTGTAACAATATCCAGTATTGTCGTCTCTTAATTCATTCCCTTTTTTCTTTTCTTCAATTTAATTAACCATTTAAATATTAAAAAAATTGATTGACTTGATGTATTCATAAATTTACTGTATTGATTGTATTAAGTCCATCCTCGATTTGGAGCTATTGTTCCGTGTTCAGTCAAAAAATTATTTGGGAAAATCCCTTATCTTATTTTCAAATCAGCAAGAAGGACTTTTAGAACTCGTGATGTCTCATGAATTTTTTTTTGCATGTTAAGAAAGCCTGTACAAATGAGTTCTTGTTCTTCAAAAACAGCGGTATGCATTGAATGCGAAACTGGTGTATTGACGTCACACTTAACAGCTCTATGTACGACTTTCTTATTTCCCCAGGTCTACTATCAGACGTGCTCATCAAGCAGTGGAATTTGCTGCTCAGCTGGGACCAGAGGGTGCGTTAGTTCTATTCTTTCACTTTGATGCTAAAACTACTGACCAAAGGACTTTACATGCACGCGAAGTTTGTCATTTCTTTGTTTGAAGGTTTCACACGAGAAGATACATGATCACATCATACAACTTAAACAAAGAATCTTATTCTTAAGACAATGACACTTCGTCTAAATTGGGAAAATAAAACGCCTAATTGGGTTTTGTCTGTTCTTGGTAAAAAATCTGTACGCCGAGAGACTTTTTTCAATGACACGTGAGCTGATATAGGGAACAAATACGCCCAAGTCTATTTGGGTCCATTGCCTGCTCACATGAAAGCAGTTGTTGCAGGAACGTATGTTACTCAAGACTTGTGATAATACAATGTTGTTTTCTCCGCAGTAATGTTTCCAAGAAAACTGGAACCTAAATTGCCAGTGGTCAATCTGTGTTTAGGATCCTCTAACGCAGAAGACACAGGTGAGAAGACAAGTCACATTTTGTAACATTTTTCCAGCAAATACTGGCATTCACTCCTGACAGAAGTTCGCTGTCGGCAATACCTCGGCAGTTGCAAAGAACACTAGACCCTTGATGAGTTTACCGAGCTAAAACACTGCCGGTTGGTTCAACCAAACGAGGTGACTTCCAGAATCAAAGGTTTTAAGGGTAGTGCAGGGGGTAGTGCAGCGGCAGTGCACTCGTCTTCATCTCTGGGGTCTCTGGCTCGATTCCCTGAATCGGCATTACCTCTACTAGAGTTTCTTGGATCTCTCCCTTGATTCAAGGATTTTTCTCCGTGTTCTCCGGTTTTCCTCCCTCCGCAACACAAATTCAAATTCGATCTGTGAGTTAGCCATGCCCTGACTTAGATCAGCCCAGAGATTGTTTCAGGGTTCAATCTGTGAGTTAGCCGTGCTCTGACTTAGATCAGCTCAGAGGTTGTTTCAGGGTTCAATCTGTGAGTTAGCCGTGCTCTG